TTTTCCAAAGGAGACACACTAAGATCAGTCAGCACACAAAAAGATACTTACCACTTTTTGTAATTAGGAAAATGCAAATAAAATCACAAAATACAATTTCTACCTACTTGCTATAAAGAAAAAGAAAATCAAGTGTTGGCAAGTATATGCATCCTTATACATTGCTGATGGGAATGTAAAATGGTACATCCACTATGGAAAATAGTTGGGAAGTTCCTCAAAGAGCTAAACTTATTAGTATATAAACTATTACAATTACCCTTCAACTAAAAACTACAATTACCCTTCAACTAAAACTAAGGGTAACAATTACCCTTCTACTAAAAACTATTGAAAATGTAGATTTGAAATAGATTCTGTACATGTTTACAGCAGCATTATTCCCTATATTCAAAAGGTGGAAACAACCCAAATGTTCTTCAGCAGATGAATGAATAAACAAAATGTGATATTTACATACAATGAAATAATATTCAACATTAAAAGTAATGAAATTATGATACATGCTATAACACAGATGAACTTATGAGTAGTCCAGACAGAAAAGAACAATTATTATATGATTCCAATATAATAGGCATGTTAATAGAAACTAAAAGCAAATTAGAGGTTATCAGAAGCTGGATGGAAGCAGGAAGGGATGATATATATTTAATGCATTTCTTTTTTGGGTGATGCAAAATTGTAGAAATTGATGTAGTGATGGTTGAACAATAATGTGAATATAATTAATTAGAGGCCCAGTGCATGAAATTTGTGCACTGGGGGATGTCCCTCAGCCCAGCCTGCACCCTCTCCAATCTGGGAACCCCCAGGGGATGTCCTACTGCCCATTTAGGCCCAATCCCACAGGGACTCCAACTTTCTGGGACTGCTGGCTTCCAATCTCTCGCCTGCCTGCCAGCCAGCCTGATTACTCCCTAAATACTCCCCTGACAGCCTGATCAACGGCTAACAAGCTGCTCCCCCACCAGCCCAATTGCCCCCAACTGCCCTCCCCTGCTGGCTTGATAGCCCACTACTATCTTCCCCTGCCTGCCATCTTGTGTGAGGTCATGATGGTCAATTTGCATATTACCTCTTTATTATATAGGATGCCAATGAATTGTATACATAAAAGTTATTATAATAGCAAATTTAATATTTTGTATATTTTATCATAATAAAAATTCAATTGATAAAATTTATCTCAATTGAAAATTCATAATAAATTTTTAACAAAAGAAGACATCATGATCATAATAAAGAATAATATTTATTATTCAGCCATAGTAAAAAAATAATGAAATTTTACCACCAGCAACAACTTAGAGGATATTATGCTAAGTAAAATAAGTCAAATGTAGAAAGACAACTATCATATGATTTCAATTATTTGTGGAATTTAAAATCCTATATAATAAATAGCTAATATGCAAATGGTTGTCACGCCCTCACATCATCACACCTTAGCAGCTCAAACACTCAACACCGGGGAGAGAGGAATGGGGACCATCCAGGCACAAATTAGCTTGTAAGAGAAGAATGGTGACCAGCGAGGCTGTGGTCTGGGAGAGGGACAAGCCACCCACCCCATGGTCCCAGGTGCCTGAAGCTGTGGCCTGGTGAAGTCGCCTGCTCACATTCCCCTGCAATCACAGCCAGCCTGAGCAAAGCCAGCCTGGGTCCTAGGTGCCTGCGGCTGGTCAGAGGGAGGAAAGCCCGGGTCCTGGGTGCCTGTGACTGGCTGAAGGAGAGGATCCTAGGTCCCAGGTCTGGGGCACGGCAGAATCAGTCAGGGATTATCAGGCCTGCAGGGGAGCAGTTAGGGACAATCAGGCAGGCAGGCAGAGGTGGTTAGGGGTGAACAGGCAGGCAGGCAGGCAGGGGGGTTAGGGGCGATCAGGCAGGCAGGCAAGTGAGCAGTTAGAAGCCAGCAGTTCCAGATTTAGAGAAGCAGTCAGACATCCCCCAAGGGGTCCCACATTGGAGAGATTGCAGGCTGGGCTGAGGGATCCCCCTCCTGTGCACAAATTTCATGCACCAGGCCTCTAGTACAAAATAAACAAACAGAACAGAAATAAATTCAGATACAGAGAACAAACTAATGATTGTCAGATGGTTTTGGGATTGGGTGTTAAGTGAAAAGGGTGAAAGAATTAAGAAGTTCAAATTGGCAGTTACAAAATAGTCATAGGGATATAAAGTATAGCATAGGGAATAGTCAATAATCCTATATAATAAAAGGGTAATAGGCAAATTGACCCTAACAGTGGAACAACCAGAACAATTGCTCACTATGAGGCACAGTGATCACCTCTTAGTCCCTTTGCCCAGCCACAAGGCTCCCATCACCCAATAGCAAATGGGGATCGGGGGGTGGGAGGTGAAGAACATGCTTGGTGCCAGGCCAAGTCTCCTGCTCCAAAGGTCACCCCACACACAGAGGGTGACCTGTGGTAGGTCGGGGCCAGTGATCAGATTTGGGGGGAACAACTGACCTCTCAGTCTCTCCCTCTGGTCGGCAGAATCCCATCACCCGATGATGAACATGGAATCAGGGGTGGTTGGCAGGGCCAGCTGCAGGAAGGCAGGGAAGATGGCCCTGATCACAGGCCAAGCCTAGGGACCACACCCACACACAAATTTCATGCTCCAGGCCTCTAGTATTCTAAAAACTATGTATGGTGTCAAGATGGATATTTGACTTATTGAGGGAATCACTACTAAGTTATCTAAATATTTAATCACTATGATATATACCTGAAACTAATATAAAATTGACTATCAGCTGTAATAGGAATTATTTTTAAAAGTCAAAAGTAAAAGGGTGTCCAATGTACATGGAAAATAGGTATGACCTTAGAGATCTGTTAGAAAATAATCTTTCATCCTACCCTCATATTTTCAGAAATAATATTTATTGACTCTAATGAATTATTTAAAAAGATCCACCAGACCTTTTGTTAGGGGCAGAAATAGAATATATTGGGGACCAGCTACCATTATAAGAAATATTAAGGATTCTCTATTAACCATGATGGTTCTGTTTTGATTAGCGAAAGCACATTCTAACCTCACTGAGAGTTGTATACCCTGGGACATGAGAGATAACATCAGAAAGCAGTCTGTCCTCCTTCAGAGAACGGCCTATCATTATGGAAATATTCACAACTAGTGACACCTAGTCCTGGAGGCATCTGCTCTTTACAACTCCCTGCTCCTGTTACCTGTAATCTGGTCCAAGGGCATCCAGGGCGCCCAGAAGCATCCCCTCTCTGTAACCTTCCCCCAAACCTCCCAGCCAGCATGACTTGTAACCTATAATGGTTATCCCATGCCCACTTTCTCATACCTATAATTCCTACTTCCTCAAGTAATCTTGTCCTTCTACCAAATATAAGCAGTTGGCTTATAATGGGGTGCAGAGCAGAATGACCTGCTGCTCTCCCATACTGCTGGCATTATTGAAATAAATATGTGATTCAACCCTCTCTACATAATTGGATGAAATAGTGACAGGCAGTTCAGATCCCTTGGTGGTTATACTTTGAGGAATTAAAGAAAATATTCTTTTAAAAGATAATATTTATCTCAGATAACCAATGATCATAGGTGGAATGAGTCAGACACTTTTAATTTCAAATTCAAAGCGCAATAGAAGAGTGGCGCTCCGGCACACTGACTGTATCAGAATCGCCGAGCTTCATCTTCAAAGTCAACAACGATGCAATGACGTGTGGGCTGGTTATGCTAGTAAAAGCTCTATATCTTTGAAAGGAAGAACACATTATCCATTGTTTTAAATATATTTTATATCAAACACTTAAAAATCTACTTAAAATATTATTTATACCACAAACCATCCTCTCTCTCCTTTTTTCCACCGCTATACCCTAATGAAATTTTGGTATGCTATGTTAAGAATTCATAATTCTAAATACTGTTGTTTGGTTAAGGCAAAGCTATCACTTCTTTTTGTGCATATATTAGTTTAAACAGACTCTCTCACTAACTCATTAAAATTAATTTTTATATATAGATCAATATATTGCTAGACAATCTTTTGACCATCTAAGGAGTTATTTTTATATTTAATAATGCCCTTTCTTCATTTATTTATAACTAGAGGCCTGGTGCACAAAACTGCACCAGTAAGATCGGGTTGAAACTGGCTCTCCATCATTCCCTCGGGATACTGGATTGCAAGAGGGTGCAGGTCAGGCTGAGGGACCCTACCAGTGCACTACCGGGGTCAGGACACAGGAGGTTGGCCAGCCAGGGAGGGACTACAGGAGGGCTACAGGGCATGTCCAACTCATCTCACTCAGTTCCTACCGTGTTTCCCCGAAAATAAGACATCCTCCGAAAATAAGACCTACTTACAGGTTTCCTTCTGAGTGAAATATAAGGCATCCCCTGAAAATAAGGCCCCCCTAGGCTAAACATGAGAGATTTGGTCCACTGATTCTGAAAGAAATGGAGTCACAAGAAATTCACCAGGAAATTCAGAAATTGGATTGTTATGATGATGTTCCAGAAGATGATGACATGATTATCATTGAATAAATGAGTAAATTCTTGATACTGAAGAATTCACAGTTTGTCTGGTTTGTGTTGACAACTGTACTGTATACAGGTAATAAATTTCCTTTATTTTCATTTAACAATAAATGTGTACCGTATTTTTCTTCATGGAAAAATAAGACATCCCCTGAAAATAAGACCTAGCGCATCTTTGGGAGCAAAAATTAATATAAGACACTGTCTTATTTTTGGGGAAATAGGGTATCAGCCAGTCCCCATCAGCAAGCCAAAGGACCAGTCAGAGCATCTGCCCCCTGGTAGTCAGTGCACATCATAGCGAACAATTGAGCATCCTTAGCATATCATTAGCATATTACACTTTAATTGGTTGAACAGCTGACTGGAAGCCTAGCATATTAGGCTTTTATTATATAGGATTATTCCAGGGTAACACATAATCACATTTTTATCTTACAAAACAAAAATATTTTTACCTTGAAATTCTCCTTCTTCTTGATAAGTTTCAGTATTACTTTGTAAATTCTCTTCTAAAATATTAGCCTTAATAACAAAAGGTATGATGATTACAAGTGATATATCTTCAAACTCTATTTACCTTCTTTTTTAGATGGAAAATTTTTTTATTCATATCTACAATATCATTGCAGAAACAGTTTACTTTTATTTCCTGAATGTATCAAATTTAGAAATAAGAACAATTCATAGATCTGAGAAGCATTTGGGAATATGTAATAATGTGAATAAAACCCAAGCAATTAATAATTATAATCAATTAATAGTTATTTATTATAATTCTAATTTAGATTATAATTTAGTCTAAATCAATTTTTAGCAAACTCAAATGACTTACAAAATTATTTTATAAGTCCACTTCAATAACTTCTGTGACAAAAATAGGTTGTGAATAAATGTCAAATATGTTGGGGTTTTTTATTTCTATTTTCCCTACACATTGCCCTAAGAATTTCCTAATGAGTATCATTTTAGCAAGAGCAATCCTGATAATTTTGTAGGACTTATATAAGGTATACAAACTTATTTCTATTATAAAATGACTATGCTTTTATAGTTACCTTAATGTATAAAATTGTTTCTATAGATGAATCTAAATGAAATTATTTTCTGTTTCAATTATGAATCATGTATCTTTTAATTTATCATTAAAACTATAACTTAAAACACTTCTTTGTCAATACAGATTAGAATTTTTTTGTTAAAATATTATTTTGATTCCCAAATATTACTTTAAACATCTTAAAAATGAAACAGGTAGTACTGAAAGGTAAACTTTTAATTTTCTTTTTATAAGAAAATATTGATATTTTCAATTAACATTTATTCAAAATAATGAAGGAGTCTAGTAACCCAAAGTAAATGGTGCTCTAATTATTTTACTATGCCTTACCTTTGAGATAACACTACTCCTTGACTTTCTTTTAGAAACAATAGGGGGTGAAATGAGTGATTCCACTGTTGAATCTTGAATTTCTTTGCTTGTTGTGAATGGTTTATCCTGGGACTTTGATAGAGTTAAAGGGGATAGGCCTTCATCAACTGAAACTTCGGTTGAACTCTTTAAAAAAGCTGATCCATCTTTAGACTTGAGGATCTCTGATCTTTAGAATTACAAAATATCTGGTGTTAGATTAGGTGAAGAACTTTTTTTATTTGTAACTGAAGAATCTTTAAGAATACTTAAATAATCAGTTATAATTATCAATTAATAATACAAATATGATGATGTTTGATAAGTTAAAGGTAATATATCTTCTGCTATTTAAAACATATACAAAGAATTAAGTAATATTTAAAGCACTTAACATAATAGTTATTTAAGGTTATAATAGGCCAAAGAACAAGAAAGATTTGGTCACCAAAGTATAGCACAAGGTTATTTGAAAGTTGTCCATAGAAAAAACACAGATATTTACATTACGATTCATTAACAGTAGCAAAATTACAATTATGAAGTTGCAACAAAAATAATTTTATGGTTGGGGTGACCACAACATGAGGAACTGTATTAAAGGGTTGCAGAATTAGAAAGGTTGAAAACCACTGGCTTAGGAGCTGGTGTTTTTGGATTATGAGCGAGATCCCAGATTGGAGAGGGTGCAGGCCACACTGAAGGACTCCCCCCTCAATGCATGAATTTCTTACACTGAGCCACTAATAAGATGATAAGAGCCTACACAAATATCAAACTATACTACAAACTCATAGTAATCAAAACAGCATGGTACTGGCATAAAAAGAGAGATAGAAATCAAAGAAACTGAGTAGAGAGCCCAGAAATAAGCCCATGCCCATAGGGTCAATTGATATTTGACAAATAAAGCAAGAACATACAATGAAGTAAAAAATCTATTATATTAAATAAATGGTGTAAGAAAAATTGGATATATACATGCAAAAAATGAAAATAGAACATATTTTATACACATCTATGAATAAGCCCAAAGGAGATTAAAGACAAATGTAAGAGATTCCAAGATAGCTTCAGAGTGGGCAGAAGTGACACTCACCTCTTTCTGGCACCAAACTGGATTTACAGCAGTCATCCTGAATAACCATTGAAGGCTAGCTGAACTGTAATATTATAACCAAGGATTTAAAGAAGAGATTGGTAAGAAGAGCAGATATATAGAAAGGACTAGCTCTACACTCACAGGCAATCACTGAGAAGCCAAGAAACATGTGGGCTATAAGCCCCCATCTCAGAAGTATTAAGATCTAAAATCTATGCGTGGATCCTCAACCCAGTGCAACAGATATGGGAAAAGGAGCCTGCATAACATCTGGTAGTGAAAATCTGTAAAGGGTTCAGTCCACTTGGGAGATAAGAGAGTCTGCTAGAGACCCAGACACCACTTCCCCAGGATTGAGCACCCCTATTGCCACAGCACCAGCTTGAGGAGTGCACTTCTGGTTTTCCAACTCCTGGTGACATGACTCTGATATGTTCAAGTCCTTCACTAAGGTCTACTGGCTATACCCTTAGGGTTCACATTTTCTGAAGAAGCTCCTGGAAGAGACTCAGACAGTGATTGAACCGTGTAGCTTTTAAAAAAGACCATTATTCCCCACCTAAGTTGCACAGATGATACTTCCCTGCTGACCTGTTGAATCACTTGGTCTACCATACACTCTGTGGCCCTGACCTGCTGAATTCATTCATGCAGGGATATCAGACTGCCACACATAGCTGTGATTTTCATCAGCTGTGAGTACCATTATCCTCAGTGAGGCTTTTGTCCAGGGATCATATGGGTGGATGCTGGGTTATGTGGCCACATCATGGGAGGGGACACTGTTATATCATGTGAGATCAACCTGAGCTATCCTGGGAAGAGGAAAAAGTGCCTGTACCACTCCTACAGGCTTCTCAGCATAATCCCCACCAGGAAACTGTTTGAATCTGCCACACTGAGATCAATTAAATGAAGGGAAGAGGGGTACTCATAGCTGGAACATTCAAAGTGTTTCTCCCTAAAAAGCTATTGTCTGGAACTAGAATAAAGTACTCAGCCCACTGCTGCAGGCTTGGTTGGAACCACCCACAATGGGAGACCCTTTTGATCTGTACCCTCTGAGCCCCAGTGGCTCCATCCTGCTGATCTTGCTCCTGCAGAGGGGATGGCTGGCGGCACCTAACCTGAAACTGCAGGATTGCTCCACCTGAGAGAGCTAGAGTTAGAGAATCTGGCAGAGAATGAAGTTTGGCTCTGGGATAGGGGCAGTTTTCCTTTCTTTTGAATGCCTGACTGCATGACCTGCAAATATGGGACCCACCAGCCCTGTCATCCCAAAACCAGCTGCTCCAATACCCAAGCTCACAACCTGTGGCTGGGTATGTGGGTGGTAGCCAGCCTGGTCCACCTCTACAATATTTCTTTGGGAAGCTTTGGAGGAAGACCAGGCAATCTCAAAGTAGCTGACAGGTGGAGGTGGATCTCAGAAATCCCCTGACCTTTTATAGAACTTACCCCAAATCTGAGCTAAAAGAAGCTGACCCTTATATACACACTAGAGGCCTAGTGCATGAAATTTGTGCACTAGGGGAATGTCTCTCAGTCCACCCTGCACCCTCTCCAATTTGGGATGCCTAGAGAATGTCCAACTGCCAGTTTAGGCCAGATCTCTGTGGGCAGTCAGACATCTCTCTCACAATCCGGGACTGCCTGCCAGCCCCTAAACACTCCCCTGCCAGCCTCATCAATACCTAACAACCCCCCTGGAGGCCCAATTGTCCCTAACTGCCCTCCATGTCGGCCCAGTCACCCCCAACTGCCCTCCCCTGTCGGCTCGGTCCCCCCAACTGCCCTCCCCTGCAGGTCTGGTCACCCTTAACTGCCCTCCCATGAGGGCCATCTTGTAGCAGCCATCTTTGGCCAAATGTGGGTGACCATCTTTGACCAAATGGGTGCAGTCATCTTGTGCGAGGGTGTGGGGGTCAATTTGCATATTAATTTTTTATTATATATTTTGGCCCCTTCATGCACACCTGGGCTCAGTAGATACAGCCTCAAACAGTGAATTATGTGGTAGTTACAGAAAGGTACACCCAATGTCTGACACCAACTTGTATTTGAGCTTTGCTCAAGTGAATTCAGAACAAACATAACAAGTAGTGTGATTCTGAGTGAACCAGAGCTTGAACCAACTAGCTATACAAACAGCATGCCAAAAGAGGGACTCCAGAAGGAAAAAGACCATGCTAGGGATAACTCTGCCTTGGAGGGAAGTCCCTGTACAACAACTCATGCAACCAGAAGAATAAATTACCCATAAGAAACATTCCATGAACATGGAGCACAAGTAATCTGAAAGATTGTGCTACTGAGCCCAGTAAGATACCTACATTATAAAACCATCATGACAAGTTTGAGAATCATAGGAGAGCTACTTAATACACAGAGATAAAATGTGGAGACAAAGAAAGATGCCTGAAATGAAAGCACAAGAGGAATTCAAAAAAAAAAAAAAGAATTCAATTAAATTGAAGCAACCAAAATATGAGCTTAGAACAATGGTTATAAAGATGCTCAAGGACCTTAGGGGAAGAGTAAATGATCTCAATGAAAACTTAAACAAAGAGTTAGTAAACTGGGCCTCTAGTTTACTGGGCCTCTAAAAAGGATCTAGAGCCCTATCCGTTTGACTTAGTGGATAGAGCTTTGGCCTGTGGACTGAAGGGTCCCAGGTTCAATTCTGATCAAGGGCATGTACCTTGGTTGCAGGCACATCCCAGCAGGGGGTCTTCTAGAGACAGCTGATCAATGCTTCTCTCTCATTGATGTTTCTAACTCCCTATCCCTCTCTGTAAAAATTCAATAAAATATATTTTTAAAAAATAAAATAAATAAAAAATATCTAGAAACCATAAGTAAAGAACCAGAAAGAAATGAAGAATATGCTAGTAGGAGCCAAGAGCAGATTAGATGAACCAGATAATAAAATCATCAATTTAGAGGACTGGATAAGAGTAAACACCCAAGTAGATCATCAAAAAGAAAAGAGAACTCAAAATAATGAGAAATATCTAATCCTCTGGGACAATGTCAAGCATAATAACATCCACATCTTAGGAATACCATAAGGAGAAAAGAGTGAGAAAGGAATATAGAACCTGTTTTCAGAAATAATGGCTGAAAACTTCCCTAATCTGGAGAAGTAAAAAGTTATATAGATTAGGAAGCACAGAGCATACCAATGATGATGAATCCAAAGAGGATGATACCAAACCACATCATAATTAAAATAGTAAATGTTAAAGGCAAAGAGATAATCTTTAAAGCAGCAAGAAAAAAACAGATACCTACAAAAAACTCTAATAAGGCCATCAGCTGATTACTCAACTGAAACATTTCAGGCAAGAATGAATTGGCATGTAATATTCAAAGTGATGAAAAGTAAGTATCTACAACCAAGATTGTTTTATCTAGAAGGATATCATTTAAAACTGAAAGTGAAATAAAGAAATTCCTCCCTCCACCCTGAAAAAAATATCTAATAGAATTCATTAGCACCAAATCAGTATTGCAAGAAATGTTAAAGGGCCTGCTTTTAAAAGGAAGAGAAAATAAAAGAAATGAGAAATAGAAACAGAGAGAGAAACATAAGTCCAACAAATAAAAGGGTGTTTCGAAGATGGCTGCAGAGTAGGTGGAGGCTGTAGGACCTTGCTAGCAGCCCCAAACCAAATTTACATATAAATTACAGTGCAACCAACTCGGAAAACCATTGAATGATAGGAAATCTGAAATATCATAATCAAATATTACAGAAAAAGCCACTGTAAGAAAGTCTGGTAAGAATGGTATAGACACTGAAAGAGTTGGACCCTGCATCTGAAAAGCTGGATAGATACCAAAGGTATGAAACCCTCCTGTTAGAAGCATGGGGTCTCAACCTCACACAGGAATCCTGAAACTAGAGCAAGAGATATGGGAAGAGAAGACTGTGTAGCAAACTAGTGTTGGGAATCAGTGAGGATTCAGTCCATTTATGAGAATCAGATCATACCATCCCAGGGAAGAACACTCTCATTGTTAACAGTACCAGTCTGGGAAGTTTACAGTCTGGACTCTTGACTACAAGAAAGGTTATACTGCCA